AAAAAAAAAATGTTAAGATAAAAAATATGTTAATTATCATGTGAAATATATGCATAACGAGATTAAAAGCGATATGCATTTGTCGTTTAAATTTGTTATATATACCGATACGTGACCTTATGCTATTTTGGTTGATGATTTACTTGACGGCTACCACAGTCTCTTCCACCCCCAAATGGGCCCATGTTTGGGTTTAAAAATATCCAGAGCGTAAGCCTTGGTTTCATATCCTATTACTGCGATAACCTTTCGAATGATGAACATTCCAAACGCTGGCGAGGTCAATAGGCCAATGCCCGTTTAAAAGTGTACCATGGCCGCTTTCGACTGTACAATTGGACAGAAACGAACAATAAAATTGTAACGCAGAAGTGTACCACAAAAGTGTAACGCGGTACACAAACGAAGTATAAATGCTTCGTTTGTGTACCACACCAAAGTGTACCATGGTACAGAAACGAAGTATAAATGCTTAGTTTGTGTACCACACGAAAGTGTACCATGGTACAGAAACGAAGTATAAATGCTTCAAATGTGCCTGGCCGCCTTCGGCCATCGTAGATTTCAGTGAAATTCGGTATACACATACACAAACGCTGATAAGGTTGTCAAAACACTGCGTCTTTTTACGGAAGAGCTTGGTAAATGTTATTTATCATATTGATGACATTGTTGAGACAAAGTGTAGTTTAAATATGCATTTTATTCCAATTGTCATAGAGTCTCTTTTCGATAAAATGTGTATAAAGTGTTTATAAATTGTTCGTTTCAGGTGCTGACGCAGCAACTGTAAACCAAGACGTTTCTAAAGCGCTACAGGAAAAGATTGCAATGTGTCATTCAGTGATGGTGATTAAGTTAGCTGGCTTTATCTATCCAGCTGCTGACTGTTGGCCAGCTTTCAAACAATTGTTATCTGTATATTTAAATCGGAGAGACATTGAGGAAGAAAACCTTTACTATTACGTTGATACACTTCTACATTTAGAGTGCATTGATCTCGGCCGATATCGCCGATTGTATGACGTTGTTCACAAAATAAATAAAGTGGCCTCTAGCATTATCATAAGGGCGGAATCAGATATAGAAGCAATGAAAAATGGAGGTAAGTATCATTTATTAGCTGCCGTACTGCGGCGTTCGTCCGTCTGTCCGTCCCTCCATCCTTCAACTTTTTCTTTGAGCGACTTCTTCTGAAGAACTTGAGGGCGTAGGATTATGTTATTTGGCCAGTAGGTACCTGGGATGAAGTGCTATACATTTTCCTCAATAAAATGATATTGACCTACTTTCAACGTCGCAAGGGTCAACTATGTTAATCATTTTAACAATCTTCGTCTCAAGTTCCATAAGGCTCAGGGTCATAATAAAATGCCAGTAGGTACCTGGGATGTAGTGCTATGAGTTTTCCTCATTAAAATGACCTTGACCTACTTTCAAGGTCACAGGGGTCAAATATGTTAAAAACTTTAACAATATTCTTCTCAAGTTCCATAATGCCCAGAGTCAAAATATTATGCCAGTAAGAACCTGGGATGGAGTGCTATAAAGTTTCCTCATTAAAGTGACCTTGAGCTACTTACAAGTCATTCAGAGATAGTGATTACGTTGGCTAAGGATATATATCCAACTGCTCACTGTTGGAAATATTTCAGACATCTTTTATCTACATTTTAAGCTCACCTGGCCCGAAGGTGAGCTAAAAATAAATGTACGAATATTTTACCATGAGTATTACTAAGCTTTCACTGACTCCTATTTGCTACATTTCATTATTAACATGAATACATAACTGAATGCTACAAATGTCACAGGAGAAGAAAAACACCTATCAGAACAGCATGAAGAAGAAAACGCTAACATTGCATTGCTACTTTTCAAAGTTAATCAAGTCTATATGGTAGACATTTGATCATAGTTAAAGATGCATTGTAGTACAGATATATTAGATTGATTAAAACCTTATGAAGGCATCGGTTTATTTCAGCTGGTATACGATCAGATGAAAGTGAGACGTCTGTCAAGACAGTATATTCAAGCCCAAACTACATACCTACCGATCTGAAACGGATGCGTGAGTATTTTGCTCAAATATGAAAAGGGTGCGATACTTTGGTAAAATGTACAATTATACACGACTTTAAGTTTGCACTCAGTTAATGGGCAAGACAAATGTTTAACAAACAAACAGCTTTTAACATACTGAGTGCTGTTAACACGATGAGTGCTGTTTACTAGAGTAGTTGCCATGACAATGACCTTTTAAGTACTGGCAATTCTTTAATACTCACGCAGTTGCCGTGACGGCTGCTATAGACCATCGTAGGTCTTGCATATTATACTTGAACAGAACAACAATACGGTTACCAGGAACAGACATTTGTGACTATCACTACTACGTTAGTAGATATGTAAAATGACTAGTGTACCCTGACAAAAATCATGTTAAACATAATACGTCATGCACTTAAATGTGAAATGATAGGAGAAATGGGGTAGGGAACGACGGTCCATTTAGAATATCTATGATATAAATTCCATCTATTT